CCATAGAAATACAGAGTTAGTCATCAGTTTGGAAGTTGTGTCTCCCTAGAAAACCTAGTACTTATTTCTCTCAAAGCTACAAATCAGTAATTAAAGCAACAATTCATTGAAAGGAGAAGGTGGAGATAAAAGTCAGGAAAAAATTAATATATAGGAGAATTTCAGAAAGTTTTGGGGGAATTTTCCTTGTCTTTCAATTTCCTTTCCCATGATCATCTCGATGTCCCCTGGTATAAGCCCGGTGTTCAAATGGGGAGAGCAGGCCCCTGTAGGCAAGGCGGTCAGGGAAGTCTCGGAGAACCGTCTGGTGTATCTTCCTGAAACGTGGATATTTCTCAGGTTCTGTGAGAAAAGCAGCACTATCCTAATCCAGGTTACAGAGAGAGCCTGTGGAACACGGGCCGTGGGTGCCTGCTGGGCTGTTAGCTACAAGTCCAGGGTTCAAGTGTACCAGCCACCCCTCGGGTCAAAGATGTAGCAGCGTGCTTCCACAAAGATTTACAGCCTCGGTAGGTCTGAGCAGTTCTCCTCTAGCCTATAGGGGGGCTCTCAGTGGGAATTGTTCCATAGGACTCGATGACACTGGGTTGGGTTTTGGTTGAAGTGAAATATCCAACTTAAAGTCCTTCTTGCGGCAGACACGTGTACACTACCCTTGGGGCGACCTCCAATGCTGTTGCCCTCTCTTCCACTGATGAGAAGTCCTTTTTATGAAATTTTGCTCCATGTAAAAGGGCCAGTGGAACCCGGGAATGCTAGAGTCACAGCAAAGCCACACCTATTGCCTCCCAGTTGCAGACAACTCACTGCCATGGTGTGGATTCCAACTCACGGAGACCCTGTGGAACTCCCCCCCCTCCCCCCATCCACCCCTTGAGTTTCGGAGACTACAAATCTCCAGGGGAGTTTATAGCCTCCTCTTTCTCTGAGAACATCTTCTGCCGACCCTCCGAGACTGTAACTCTACTGACGCGAAGAGATAGCCTCATCTTACTCCTTCAGAGTGGCTGGTGGGTTTGAGCCTCTGACCTTGCAGTTAGCAGCCCAGCGCCTATCCCAGAGCACCACGCACACTTCTTAGCAGTCACAGTAGCCTTAGGAGAAGCTTCTGCTGAATCTGCTGTGTACGGTGAATCATGTCACTTTACTCTGGTCCTTCTCCTACAGACATCCCTCCTTCTCTTCCCCTGGTCCTCTCATATTCTCATATTCATTGTCTAGTGCCTGGACTGGGCTGTCTGCTCCTATAAATGGTTACAGTCTCGGAAACCCACCGGGGGTCGCTCAGAGTCAGCATTGACTCAATGGCAGTGACTTTGGTTTTTTTGGAGTGTGTTTGAAGGGAGCCCTGGTGGTGTCGTGGTTACACATCTAGCTGTGATCCAAGTGGTTGGCAGTTCAAAATCGCCAGCAGCTCTGAGGGACAAAGACTGAGCTTTCTCCTCCTGTGAACAGTTATTGTTTTGGAAACCCACAGGGGCCACTGAGTCAATGGCAGTGAGTTTGTTGTTTTTGTTGTTTTTTTTAGTTTATTGTGTTTAAAGCAGTGGTCTCTTAAGATGGACTGGTTGCAGACCAGACTAGCTAGAGTAAGGTGACCAGATGTCCCGCTTTTGGCGGGACAGTCCCAAAGCCCCGATTTTTGGAAAGAATTCATGACAAGCTAGGGAATGGTCTATTTGGTCCATATAGACCAAATTTTTTTATCAAGAATACCCCCACCCCACCCCCTGTCAATGGTGTCCCACTTTAAATCTGGTGTTCCAGAGAAGACAAATACCTAGGGATGTAATGCAAACCAAGGCGCCCTGGTGGCGCTGTTGGGTAAGCCTTGAACTGCCCACCACAAGGTCCATAATGGTTCAGAGCCAAAAGCCGCTCCACTAGAGAAAGCTGAGGCTGGCTGCGCCTGTCATGAACTAGAACCTTGGAAACCCGTGGAGTTGCTGAGTCAGAATCAAGTCAATGACAGTGGGTTGGGTGATTGGGTAATTCAAGGAAGATTCAGAAAGATCCGCCACAAGAAGCTCTTGGTGAGGAGCCCAGGGAAGCTGAAGAAATTGGCCAGGGCTTTGAGAGAGTACTTGGAGTCCAGGGGAGCTGGACACTAGAGGATTGCTGGGGTGCAGGCTTTCAATGCATCAAGGTGTGTTCTGGGTGCAGAGGGAATTCCAGTGTGAGCAAGGGGGCATGCTGTGAAACCAGAAAGACAGGTTGAAGCAGTGCTCCAGCGAATGCTGAAGGGAGTGGTGATGCAGCCTCCCCTGGTAGCCCTTGGAGACTAGACCACAGACCGAGTGGTGCCTTAGAGAACGGGGCCTGAAACCAGCTTCAGAAGGAGTACAGGCCAGCGTGGCCTGGGGGAAGTGGAAGACACTGAAGGTGTTCAGGTCGTCAGAGGCCTTTCCTGGTCACTGGCCATTTCCTGTGACTTAGAGCTGGGATACACATAAACAATTGGGCGGGGGGATGGTGATGCAAAAGACATTGCAGAGGGAAAATCTGCATGTTTTAGGAAATAATGGGCTGGAATGTACAAAAGCAAAGTTAAATTTGAAATAACCTGGGGCTTCTGAGTCTGACTGACTAGGTTAGGCTGATAGCCTTCAGGTGAGGAGAGCAAAGTAACCCCAAAATTCAGACCAAATCAAACTCACAGCCATCGAGTCAGTGCTGACTAATAGCGACCCCCAGTGACGGTTAACGTTCATGGGAGTGGAAAGCCCGGTCTTTCTCCCTCAGAGCTGTTGGTGGTTTTAAACTGCTGACGGTGTGATCACAGCCCCACTCATCACCACTCCACCACCATGGTGTGATCACAGCCCCACTCATCACCACTCCACCACCACGGTGTGATCACAGCCC